AATTATCTATCTCTATCTATACAATTCTATCATTTTTCGCTGGCTTTATTTCCCGGACTTATATACTAAAAAAGAGGGTGCCTGGAGCAAACTAGAGTTGCCAGGAAAATTCATGATCCTTCGAGAAACTTCAGCGCGCATGTTCCCAGTGTTGCGTGACTTCCGCTGTCGTAACAATATATACATGAGATTATTCTAAATTTTTCAGCCTTATCCTACAGGCTCAGGTATTTTTAATCATTTATCACTAGGATATCACTTAACTATTTTTTCTTGTGATGAAACTGTTAATCGAAAAAGAGCCAACTTTTAAAGTCGTACATCAACACCTTTACTACTGATAAATCTCTGGTGGATTTAATTGTCTTGCGCAAAAAAAAAAAAAAATTCCCCTGGTATCTCTTAAAATAACTTCGCCGTAAAAAATGTTAGGGGTATTAAGGACAAATGAGAACTTGAAAAATAAAAACAATTTAAAACATTTATTACGGCACAAACCCTTATTAGGCGTTTAAATAAAAACACTCCAAAATATCATGGAAATTTTATCTTATACTTATATAAAAAGTACATGTTACCAATCCGTATCCTGATTTGCAAATGACGTAAAATTGATAATTACAATTCAGTTGCACAATCTGGTTCATAACATGTCGTTGCGAATGAAAATCGATTACAATTTACATAAACAGCACTGTCGTATGAATCCTGTTATAAGGCGAAAGGCCTCGAAGACACCGGATGTAGGAGATGTAATATAGTGATTGACATACTGTAACATTTTTCTTTGCTTTCACGCATTAGTTCATAGAATTATTAGTATGTGTAAGAATTTTCCACGACATATTTTTTGTCCTAAAATTATCTGAGTTTAAAATTTTTAACTTCCACACTACAAAATCGCTAAAAACCATAATATAAAAATAAGCATGAAAAACAAATTCATTGAGGCTACGTAAACATGTACTGTATAGCAAACTAGAAATAGTACCGTAGTGCCATCTGTTAACAGTTTGAAGAAATATTAACAGTCAAATAGCAGCAAAACATTCCAAGATTATAAGAAACGCCTAAGAATCACGCTTAAGACCGGTATTTCACGCATCACCGTTTTATGTGAAAAAAAAACTATTTATGTATCAAATTTAATCGATTCAGCAGTTTTGAACGAACAACGTAACATAGAAATATAAACAGGCGATCGCTGTGATTACCGTATCATTCAGCAGAAAGACTAATAGTATTACTAATATTCATATTCATTTTTAGTAGTTTAGTTGTTTTAAAAACACAATCTTCCGCACTTGCGCCATAAGGGAAAAGACAAACACGTATTATCTAATATCTTTCCTGCACGAGAAATTCCCTGTCTATTTCGCAAAAATTCCCAATGACGCAGCAGTTTTTCTCGGAAAACAGTAGAAACAAGAAAAGAATGGGCTGTGCGATATTAACCTCTAACCTATCATCCTTGGCTTTAGCAGAAACGAGAGGTATCCATGCTTTTCAAAAATATAAAGCATAGATGCCTACATGCTTTCCAGTTAAGATGTCTGGAAATGAGAAATACTAGCAGGAAATGTAAGAAATTCTAGTAGAACAGGAACTAACCTCGATTGTGTAAGAGCTGAGGAAATAGCATACGAAAAGTACCTGGTACATGCAGCATGTTAGTCGGTTGTGACATTCAAAAGGGCATTTCTAAAGTTTAATTTTTCTTAATGACAAGACCTATTAAGTAATTAAAGTATTCAACTTTTACTTAGATAAGGTATTTTGATCTGAGTTCTACATAATAAGTTCTCTTGCTGAAACAAACTTAGCTGAGATAAAGACTTCTGAAAAAAAGTTTGATATTTAATGAAATTAGAAACAAACAAAACTATAAACTATTACTATATTTGTTGGTACTGTACGTCTAATACAACAATTGTTAATATACAAAAATGGGGTTATGTATAATCCAGTTAAATCTTTGCGAGTTTAATATTTAAATATATCATGATTAAGAAGTGCCACTTTACCACAAACCTAACCATTGTAATTTGTTTTGCATTTACATGTCTCCCAATAACTACTCTTGAGAAAAAATGGGCAAGATCTAATCTTATTGAAGTTTACAAGATGATTAATAGATCAATTGGATAAGATCACTTGGTTTCTATATGCTACATTCTGCATATAACAGGAACAAGTTTGAGATTTGGAAAAGTCAGAGTAGGCTCCACTTCAAACAGTTATTTTCCTAACAGAGTGACTGACTTATGGAAAGAGTTAATTTGTTTGTAATTAAGCACAAAGCTATACAATAGGCTATCTGTGCTCTGCCCACCACGGGTATTGAAACCCGGTTTCCAGCACTGCAAGTCCAAGTCCGCAGACATACCACTGTGCCACTTGGGGGCAGAAAGAGTTAAAAAAAAAAAAGAATCAAGGGCTTCCTTAAAAATAAAGATTGAGTATGAAAAGACAACTTTTAAGGATCAAACAGTCCCTAGTTCTCTTTATGTTTATCTGAGTTACCATAATAAAGTAGAACTGCAATATATTGACTTTAAAATGACATCAATATACAAAATATATATCTATTTGCAATAATTTATAACAAATTCTCTTGTCTAACCAACATATTGGAGTTTTTTTGACAGGGCATAACTTTTCTGAAAAGATGAAGCTACCTTAATAGAATGTTGTACATTTTGACTTTTGGACTTTTTTAGTATGGGCTGCACAAATTGTTTAGAAAGCTGAAATTTTATTAATCCGGTGGAGAAGTGGTGGAAACCAAAGGGTAGAAAAAAACAGGCATTTCCCTAATTTGTTTATTATTTGAATAGTCTTTCAGAATATATTTCTACACTTTCTGATAAATGATAAAATTAAGTGTTTAGAAGTACTTTGAAGAATCAAGAAATTTTTAATGACTGGGAAGAATGAAAAGTTATTTCAATGTTGAGAAACATAAAGTTATGCACATTGGGGTATGGAATTTTGAAAAAACATACTTTTCTGACAAGAGGAGCATAGGAATTGTTGTCAGAAAGTGTGATTTAGGTGACATTGTTAAAAAGAAAGAAAAATATTCAACTGAGTGTTTAGTTATGGTTAAAACAGCCAAGAAAACTACAAGATCTATTTGCAGAAATTTTAACTAACAAGTAAGAGCAGTATTATAACCTTGTACAAAACTCTGGTCCCTTACTACAGGCAAGATATTGACTTGTTGGTAAAGGTACAGAAACTACTTAGTAATATTGTTAACAGGGAATACCTAACTGATAAAATAATGCATTCTAATCTTCATGAACTTAAGAAATGTGTATTTAATTCACTATACTGATTGCCAGTTTATTTTTAGTTTTACTCTAAATACATAGTTTGTTCTGATTAGACAAAAATTATGCTAAAAAGAAAGTTTTAGAAATTTGTGCTTGTTTGGTGTAGAACATAAAACTAGAGGTGACTTAATTCAGTTATTCAAGTTTGCTAGACATGGGAATACAAATGTTTGAGATGCAAACTTGAATATTAGGAGTAGTAGGTTTAAGCCTTGGAAGCCTAGATCCAGACTAATTTTTCTGCAAGCTTATCTTTCAGTTATAACTTATAAACTTATAGCAGGGTTTGCCTGATGATATGATTGTACTATTGACTTAATTTACTTCTTGAAAACATCATTGGACAGATACAATATAGATGAATGTGATGATTTATCTCTTTAGTTTTGTTGGTGTTTTAAATTTTACAAATCAAGTAATCATTCGCCACTTTAATTTTTCTTAAGCTTTTTTTGTTTTAGAGATAGTAGTCCCAATATTTGTTTAGCTGATGATTTTTTTTATAATCTTGGAATTATCATATGTAACAATTTGTAACCAAGTTAACAGTTATCTACATTTTTAAAAAATTAGAACACCCAAATTGATGCATTCCTAAAATATATTTATCAATGTTATATTGGAAATTAAAATTGTTGTATTGATGACGAAAGAGTATTATTGTTAATTATGTTTTTGAATTAAGGGTATAACAAAATAAGATAAACATATCAGACATAAAAGTTAACAGTTATACAAGGCATAATGCTGTTTTAATTTAAGCTAAATACCTCTTGTTTCAAAATAAAACCTACCTTCAGTAACAAATATTTTCTAAACACTCACTTTACTAATCAATTTAAAACTAAAAGTGTCAGTATCAAATTGTTTTAACAGTATAACTCTCATTTTCAAGAAATTACCATTGTTATTATTCTGTTGTCTCCAATTCCAGATTTGCTTTTGTAACATAGAGAAACGAAAACAAAAAAAGGAGTAACAATTTCTATAAAAAATAGGTCAATACACGTACGATACGACCTTCAAAAATACATTGTTTTTAAATTTTATTTTGCAATTCTGTCTTGTGCTTTTCGACCAACGTCAGTCAACCTAAACCTAGACAATGTACGATGTATAACTGGCATTGACATTCTACCTTTTATTTTTAACTGTTAATGTTAGTGTTACTGTGTAAAAAGCTAGTACTTTCTTCGCTGTGTCTTATCCACTTGTTAATGTTATCAATAACACTGTTACTGTTAGTAACAGTAATATTAGACTGGGCTAACACCAAAGTACAATTAGGCCTACTAGTAGTAGTATTTAAATTCAGGGTTTTCAAAGTTACAGTTTACACATCATTGAGCTTTAACTTTATCTTTAAACTTAAAAAAAAAAAAAAAAAA